ACTTTTAACGCTCTTGCCAATTTGCCACAGAAATAGGTTTGCTTAAAAAAAATGTATAGACACATGTGTATATCGAAGACCTTTCTTGAGCGGAATCTAAAATTACTCTTTAGGGATTCTTTAAAAACTTCCGTATGCCCTTTCAGTGAAAACTAAAATCTATAAAACGACAAACCGTTTGCTTTAATAAAAAAAAATTGATTTATGGTTGCTCAAATATTTAAAAAAGTACGACAGCTTTTTAGACATCCTATGGCAGCAACACCATATTTATCCATTTTATATTGTTTTGCGATTTTAATATTTTAAATCAATAGCTTGTTAACTGAACTTTCAGCAAAGTTAAATGACCATATACTAGTGTATAAAATTTGTAAAAGCTTGCATTAAGAATATTTTACTGAAAAAATATTTCGATGTGCGCCACGCACAGTATCTTTTTTCAGAATGTTTCAATTAGAAAAATAAATGGGGTGTTTATAAATGGGTTTAATAAAATTAACTATAGTATTGAAAAACTACAACATGGACAATCTATCTAAATAAAAAACTAAAACTTTTATAATTGATACTCTTGTCTATCAAGTTTCATTTTTTTTAATAAGGAAATGAACTTATCAAAGTCGATTCCGCTGTAAAGCAACGTTTATGATATCAGAGATATTTGTGTACTATAATGCTTCTTTTACAGAGGATATAAAAATATGCCGAACCGAAAAACTCAACAAGTTTTCCAATAAAATTAAAAGTTTGCCTGCATGCGCAGATTTCGCAGATTTCACAGAATCCATTGAAAGTAGCAAATACAAATACTAACGAAAAATAGAGAGGGCTGATGGGAGGGCAAATAGGGAGGAGGAGGGGCAGGTGGACAGAGGGCAGCACTGCTGGCAAAGTTTTGATTGCCAATAAGGATTTACAGGTGATAATACAGCATAATCTGGCCACGTTCCACGTGCCGCGTTGGCAGGGCAACATTCTGTTGGAAAATTGTATCTGGAATTTTGTAGTTACCTTGTGCTTCCCGGCTTTTCCCCACTTCGGGAGCTGCATGCGCGGAAAAGAGTGGAGCGAAATGCATTAAAATGGATTTCGAAACTTTAAAACTCAATTTCAATTGCACAGAAAAAGTTTGGCGCTGAGATTTGCATATTTACGTAAAAGAGAGCTGGAAAACAATATCATCCCGTTGCAACGAAAAAACAGAAAATAAAAAATAAATTCTTAGGTCCACCTGGGATGTTCACAAATTAATTAGTTTCGCTTGTCCCCCAGATCTCGGCCCTTCAACATTACCTGCAGCTGCTGCCGCTGACTTGGAAAACGAAAAACAAAAAAAAAGGTGCTCCTCTTTTTGCTGCCAAGTGTGATAATTTGAAAGGCCACTGCGCCGCTGCTGGGATGGAAAATTCATTTGAAAAATTAAGTTTTCTCACGGACAACGCCGCGTCACACCGTCGGCCAATGGGGCGTATGAGTGACCCGATTTCAACTGCTGTCTGCACTTAATTACAAAATGAGAATGCATCCAGCGGCAGGGCAAATCCCGCGCAAACAAATTTCAATATTAAAATTCCTCTTGCCTCATAGCTTTGGCGCCGCGAAGGAGCCGAGCGAAAAGTACGGGGCAGGGTGTCCCAAGTCGGAAGTCGGACGCCGGATGCTGGATGTCGGGTGACGGGTGACGGGAGTTGGGAATCGGGAGTCGGGAGTCAGAAGCCAGGAGTCATGAAGACAGCACAGCTGGGTGAATGCAACTGCGTGATAATTAAAATCAAAGCGCTCGAAAGAGGTCAACAATTTCGTTGGGAATGCGAAGAGGACATCGAGTCGAATTCTCGAATACAATAAAGCAGAGGTTCTCTTGGCTTCAGGATAGTCAAAGTAGCTCACGCTTTATATACGAAAACCGTGCCAAAAACATGTATAATAACAATTTTTTAACCTTTTTTTCGTATCTATTTTTGCATGCAAGCTTATCCATAAAACGTTTCGGTCAGCTAAAGTGGAATTCTGTGATATTTGAAATGTAAAGATATTGATGATTATGACTATTTCCGCTCGCAAACTTTATCATTAATCGGGTAAGTAAACTACTAAAGTCTATTAGCTTAAAATGTATAAATTTATTCTAAAACATTCACCATTCGAAATAAAAAACTGTTTTAAATATGTTCACCCTAATCTAATTTTTTAAAGGAAAAAGTTCAGGGAAGTTAGTAATTTTATACGACTCAGATAATCGACTCGCTTATCAAAAAGAAATTGGGTATGTCCATCCGTATTCCAAGTTCCATGGCCGTAGGTCAGGTTCTTTCATTTTCTTACAGCTGCTCGCTTTATGAAGGGATTTGGGGGAAATAAGGGAGCTGCATGCGTTGCTATCAAAACAATGAGGAATAATTAAAATTCACCCTCAAACAATTTGTGAGCTTTGGCGGAAGGACTCTCCCCGTGCTTAGTTTGAAGGCAAGGGCGGGGCGGGGCAGCTGACACATGCTCATAAATAAATTTATGTTTGCTGAAGTGTATTGGGCGTGCCAGGACTCCGGCTCGCATCTCCTAGCTCCCGGCTCCTGTACCAGTTGGTCATAAATTTCCGGTTGTTGTTGCCGGCTCCGACAGCTTTTGGACAGGTTTAGAGAATGAGACCGAACGTGTTCTTCATTGCAATTACAAGGAATCCTTTTTTATCTTCCTACGATTGTATCTCAAGAATTCGGCGATGTGTTTCTGAGTTTTCTTTACTTTTAAACTAAATCAATTGGCCAAGCTTCGACGACTTAACAGCTACTTAAACGCGCTCTTTAAACAGTTTTTCACGCACCCTGTTAATCATGCTTCACACTTTTCTCAAAGTTAACCTTTGATTCAATTTATCAACTTCAATAAACAGAACAGCAAAAAAAGTGACACACACACAGGGGCCACAAAAACCAGAAAGAGCGGGGGTTTTGCAAAAGTTGCGCCTGCGAATCGCAAAGGACTAACGACATCCTTTGAACGCTCGCAAATAATCCCGCAAAAACCGAGAGCTTAACTTTTTCAGCATTTATGGGAGGTTGCATTCGCCCATATTTGGGCTAAAGCTCTTTTGCCATTCGCCTAGTTTAGCACAAAGTTGAAACGTCAACGCTGTCTGATTCTGATCGTGTGCCACCAGCAACCAGCGCAACCAACAAAAGCAACATTGTCTGCCACTGATGGATGGATAGAATCCTGGATGGATATGCATCCAGGAAAATGGGCAACTATTTCATCATGGCTATAATTTTGTAACTGATTCAAGGCGATTGAAGTAGAAGATTTTATTAAAAGCTTTGACCCCAACTATTATTAAGTCCATGCAAAAAAACACGGACTTCCAGCCCTGAAAAGTACGAGTATATATGTTTAAAAAGAGTCGATATAGACACAGCCACTTTTTAGTGGCAGTCAAAAAAGATCTGCTTATGATTATGTTGTGTCTGGACATAGTACTCTCTCCTTTGAAGTACAATAAATAGATAGACCATAATTTCGTACATGCACTTTGCCCGAGAAATAATATAATATCTTCATATGATTTATATAATAGCTGTCGTATAAATAACGAGTAAATGTAAAATTTTAGTGGTACAAATATACCTGGTAGCAATCAATTTAACAAGAAAAAATGTAATGTGAAATTTTAGTGGTACCCATATACCTGGTAGCTATCAACCTAACAAGAGGAAATATCGAGCTTATTTAAAGTAAAAGGGAACAATTTATTTTTACATCATGCTGATTTTTATAATACACTTTAATTTATTTATTTTTATGTAAAAGTATAGAAAAATTGTTGTACCAACAAGATTAAATATCGAGCTTATGAAACGTAAAAGTAAACTTTGGACAAATTCTCTCCCCTTAATTTGGTTGAAGTTTTCGTGAGTAGTCAACTGGCTCTAGTTGCGATACTAAATAGTCCTGACCAACAGGCAAGGGTACTTTCGTAACTTATCGTAATTTGTTTCCTCTATTTAAACCACTATGAGTAAAAATGATGTGTATAAATCATAGTGCTCCAAGAAGTCTTAAACTTCCTTTAAAGTAACATTTAGTTTTTATTTTGTTGCTTGAGGACAGAAAACAATCTGCTAAGTTATCTAAGCTTAGCCAAATATTGGAGCGCAATGTCCTTTGGGAGCTTTTAGTTCTGCAGAAATATTTTATCACTTGTTCCCGATTCCCTGGGCTTGAAATAGTCTTCGAAGGCATTCGAGAGTCGCCTCTATCATCAATCCATGTCGATATATAAACAATGTTTGCCCACATACGAAGGCGCAAATGCAGACGGACACATAAATATACTACAAGCCAGAAATACAATTTGAGCTGATGTTTCTGCTGCCGTCTGAGTTGCCAAGGCTCTCTATTTATTTGTTGTAATAATATTAGTTTTTGCATTTATGAGCGAATGTGTGTACACAAGGAGCATCTTTTGTTTTGCTCATCTTTCGCCGGACCTGGCCAACTCCGGAAATAAGATTAATGCAATTGGGAAATCCAACATGGAGCAGTTGTGTTGGCTCTTCTGTTTGCCTTTGTCTCCGCTCTGCCAAATATTGGAAATGATATATGTATATTTATTTATACGCTAGTATTTCATTAGTTGTGTATTCGACTGCCCTTTCAAGTGTCCCCGCCGTCGCACTTGGGCAGCAGATTTATTAAATAAACACTCGAATTGATTGCAATGGAAATTACACATCTAACTGCCAAGCGGAAGTGCATGTGGGTGAACCATTTAATTCGGCAGGCATGCACGTTATTCGAAATTGATTGGGCATTTCTCAGAACATTGTTGGAGTTGAGATTTTGGTAAAATAGTTCTACCAAAAGCTTAATACTTCAAAAAAAAACTTTGTTGTATTCCAAAGATAAGATGAAGATGGTTATATATTTTTCATGCTCATCAAATAAATTCTATCTATTCTATTCTTCTATTAGATAAACTAAAACAATGCAGCATTGAAAAATCTTTCACGGTTAGATAGAAACTTCGAAATTTTGCTGAGGAGATTTTTAATAGTCTCTCTAATAAATTAATATGAATTTTATTGCAATTTTAACACTTGTTGTTTTGATGTCTGTTGAGGTATTTATGAAAAGTTATGTTTCTGCCCTAGTATACTAGTTCAATTTCTATGACAGATCCGCAGAAATGACGCCATGGTGGACAATGCCAGGTTAGTTTTAATCCAAACCAACAGGAAAAGGCGTAGTCATGGAGTCGCACCTTTGACTTTGGATCCTAATCTCAGCAAGGATTGCGAAATTTATGCTAGGGTGAGAGAGAATTCAACTCAACTATCCCTGTTTGCTTAAAGAAAAGTCGTTTACAGAAACTTGCGAAATCGCAAACTTACACCAAACCCGACCCCACTAATTACACATACACAGAAAATATATGCAAATTCGAATATAGATATGCCGGACTCCCAAGATGCGTCAACTACTGGTATCAAGGACACGAATATTATTATCCACATGCAAGATATTTTCAATACTCTGCTATGATTTGGAAGACTTCAAAATATATGGGGCAGGGAGACGCCGAAATAAGGTTAGAACTTAAGTTGTAATCCTCGAAATCTTGAAAAAATTTTGGCACAAATACCAGTTATTCAGTTCTAATAAGTACGAGGTGTGTTCAAAAAGTATCGCGAATTTTGTGTTTATTCAAAAATTATTTATTTATTCATGAATATATATTTTGTCCCCTTCAAAGTAATCCCCATGAGATATTATGCCCTTGGGCCAACGGTTTTTCCAATCTTCGAAGCACTTCAAAAAATCATTTTCTATTATCTGGTTCAGCTCCTCCTTCGATGCCGTCTTTATCTCGTCAAGCGTAGCGTAACGTCGTCCTTTCTTGGGCCTCTTCAGTTTAGGAAACAAGAAAAAGTCACAGGAGTCCAGATCGGCATCATTAGTGTGTTGTTTTTTGGCCAACAAGTCGCGCACAAGCAACGATGTGTGAGCAGGGGCGTTATTGTGGTGCAAAAGCCAATTTTTGTTCTTCCACAAAACCCGGGCGTTTCTCGCGGATTGCTTCGCGCAAATTGCGCATAACTTGCAGGTAATATTCCTTATAGACCGTTCTTCCCTTTGGCAAAAACTCACGCCCCTGCAATCGAAGAAAACTGTCAGCAAAACTTTCACATTCGACCGAACTTGGCGCGCTTTTTTCGGTCTTGGTTCGTGCGGCAGCTTCCATTGAGATGATTGAGCTTTGGTTTCCACGTCGAAGCTATAAACCCACGATTCGTCACCAGTTATGACCCTTTGGAGCAAATTTGGGTCGTCGCGGACAGAGTTTAACATCTCATTAGCAATGTTCATGCGATGCTGTTTTTGGTCGCAATTGAGCAATTTTGGTACGAATTTCGCGGCGACCCATCTCATGCCCAAATCATTGATAAAAATCGAATGGCACGAGCCAATCGATATGTTTAGGTCCTCAGCAACTTCTCTAACGGTGATTCGACGATTGGCCAATACCATTTTCTCCACTTCATTGATTTTTTCGTCTGTTGTTGTAGTGCTCGGGCGGCCGGCACGCTCTTCGTCGTTCACATCTTCTCGGCCTTCTGAGAACATTTTGTACCATCGATAAACGTTGCTTCGGTCCAAGGTAGCTTCTCCGTATGCCACAGTCAACATTCGGAATGCATCCACGCACTTAATTTCGTTTTTCACACAAAATTTGATACAGGTTCTTTGATCCAATTTTTTGAATAGGTAAAAATCGAAAATGACCGAGCTTGTCGGCATTAGTGAGATTTATGAGTACCAACATACGCCACAAAAAAATCAAAATTCGATACGGGTAACCCGCGAAAATTCAAAATTCGCGATACTTTTTGAACACACCTCGTATACTATGAAAAATGTTAACTATTCTTATTAATTATGTTTCATTTCTTGCTCCTCCATATTCTATTTACTCGTAGCCCTCAGAGAGGCATTATGGTGGTCAGATACACTCCCCCTGGAAATATTGCTGGAGTTTTCTTTAGCAACGTGCCCCCCAGGATACATAACAAGAAGGAATCAAAGAAGTTAGTACATATGTATGTATATGTATATACATATAACATAAAGTTTATAAACACTGCAAACGATGTTTATGGTCTTTCAGAAGCTGTGCGACCCGTCTGGATCATCGATTTTTAATGTTATTTTCGGTTTTCTTATGGAGATCGGTAAAAGAAAATTTAGACCACGCCTTTTAATTGTTATAAATTATTGTACAAAGTTTTGCTTCCTCCCCAAGACATAATAAATGTAGCTTACCTTTGCTTAGGCTTTGGGAGAACTTATATTTTATCGCCCTATTTTGATAATGATAAAATATTTTTCAAGAAATACATTTTTTTGATATATGTCGTAAATTTTTTGCAGAACATCATTGATCAACATCATTAAGGGACCAAAATTTGTTTGTTTTATTAAGTAATATTATAATTTTAATAACGAAGACCGACCGGACTTTTCTTTGGAAAGTACAGTCAAAAACAATTCTAGTTTACTTGTCCTGCTTTGGCACTTCGTAGGGGCCGAATGCCCGGACGTGTTCTCTTATCCGGACAGCGTTGATGGCGATAAACCCACCCGCACCCTGGCCAATGCCGTACAGTCCGCCCAGCTCATTCAGGAACCGCAGAATCTCCAGGGGCTTGGTCCAGGGCGCGGCCGGTTTGGCACTCTCCTCGATTCCGTGATGACGGGCGTAGGCAATGAGATCCTGACGGCCTTGAAACTGGCGGCAGAACTCCACGTCCCGCCACGGCGCTATGATCTAAGGTATGTATGTAGATAATTAGTGATGTACGTTTGTCAGTCTAACTACTCTCTACTTCAACTACTCTCTCAGATGTTAATCTATCCTGCTGAAACTTTACCAAAATTGGCGTAGTTATATCAGGCAGTATATTAAGTCGGAACTATATTGTATAACTCCCATAGGAAAGATCGACAAATAGCTGGGAAAAAAGTTCAATTTTTAAACCATAAGCATATTTTTTGGAATGTACAGTTTTTAACAACGGTTGAAATAGGAAATAGTTTCCAAAAAGCTTGACGACATCACTGTTTTAATCTATTCTAACTGCATGGGCATTAACAAATTATTATATAAATATAAATAAAAATATAACGCCTTAAAAGGAGCATCTTTTGTTTTGCTCATCTTTCGCCGGACCTAGGCACCTCCGGAAATAAGATTAATGCAATTGGGAAATCCAACATGGAGCAGTTGTGTTGGCTCTTCTGTTTGGCTTTGTCTCCGCTCTGCCAAATATTAGAAATGATATATGCATATTTATTTATAGGCTAGTATTTCATTAGTTGTGTATTCGACTGTTCTTACAAGTGTCCCCGCCGTCGTACTTGGGCAGCAGATTTATTACGCAAACACTCGAATTGATTGCAATGGAAATTACACATCTAACTGCCAAGCGGAAGTGCATGTGGGTGAATCATTTAATTCGGCAGGCATGCACGTTATTCGAAATTGATTGGGCATTTCTCAGAACATTGTTGGAGGTTATATTTTGGTAAAATAGTTATGCTAGAACTAGACTTCAAAGAATATTTTCATTTTCAAAAGATAAAGAAATAAAACCTTCTTATTTTCATAAAATAAATTCTGTCTCATTTAAAGGGCACTCATATCGTTTATTGAGGTGCTTTTGTTCTTCTGTTAGATAAACCAAAACAATTCAGCATTGAAAAATCTTTCAGAATTACATACAAACTTGGAAATTTTGGTGAGGAGATTTTTAATAGTCTCTCTAATAAATTAATATGAATTTTATTACAATTTTAATACTTGTTCTTTTGGTGTCTTTTGAGGTACTTGTAACAAGTAATATTTCTGCAGAAGTATAGTTCAATTTCTATGACAGATTTGCAGGATTGATGCCAACATGGACAATGCCAGGATAGTTTTAAGGGACACCAACAGGAAAAGGCGTCATCATGGAGTTCCACCTTTGACTTTGGATCTTAATCTCAGCGAGGATTGCGAAATTTATGCTAGGGTGAGAGAGAGTTCAACTCACCTATCCCTCTTTACTCAAAGGAAAGTCGTTTACAGAAACTTGCAAAATCGCACAATTACACCTATTCCGACACCACTAATTCTGCATACACAGAAAATATATGCAAATACGAAGTTAAAGTGGGAAGACTCTCAAGGTGCGTTCAAAATTGGTATCATGGAAGAGAATATGATTTTGCAGATCCTAGAGCTAGAACATTCACTGCTATGATTTGGAGATCTTCAAAATATATGGGGCATGGAGACGCCCAAATAAGGTTAGAAACTTAAGTTGTAATCCTCGAAATCTTGAAAAAATCTAAAATCCCTTCATGGTCCTAGCCAAGAATCAACTACATCAATACCTATTAAAGTATGTCGCACATTAGACACAATATGTGAAAGCATTTCCGACTCTCCAAAATTATTTTGTATCGAAATCAACAACCGAGTTTTTGCATAGTTTCGGGTATTCATACTCTACGAATAATGTTCTATAACACAAACTTATAAAGAAATGAGTGGTCAAATTCTCAAATACATCGGTATTTTGGTTGTTTCTTAATTAGATAAATATCTTTGTTTTCACAAATCATTTCTAGTTTATATCTCAATATTCAATATAAACCAACGTTGTCTTCATTTTGGCACAAATAACAGTTATTCAGTTCTAAAAGTATACTATAAAAACTGTCAACTATTCTTGTTAATTATTTTCGATTTCTTGCTCCTCCATATTCATTTTACTTTTAGCCCTTCGACAGGCATTATGGTGGTCAGATACACTCCCCCTGGAAATGTTGCTGGATTGTACACTGACAACGTGCCCCCTAGGAAAAATAAACATAAAAAGAAGAAATCGAAGAATGAGTTGGGGACTGAAAAGTATATATATAGTTTACAAACACTGCAAACGATGTTTATGTGTATTTAAAGCCTTTTCAGAAACTGTGCGACTCGTCTGGATCATCGATCTTCAATGGTATTTTCGATTTTCTTATGGATATTGGTAAAAAAAACTTTAGACAACGTTTTTTAATTGTTATAAACTGTTGTACAAAGCTTTGCTTACTTTATAACCTCCCCTTGACATAATAAATGTACATAGCTTACCAAAATTTGCTTAAGCTTTGGGAGAACTTATATTTTATCGCCCAATTTTGGTAATGATAAAATATATTTCAAGAAATACATTTTTTTGATGTATGTCTGGTCGTAAATTTTTCGCAGAACTTCATTGATCAACATCATTAAGGAACCAAAATTTATTTGTTTTATTAAGTAATATTATAATTTTAATAATGAAGACCGACCGGACTTTTCTTTGGAAAGTACAGCCAAAAACACTTCCAGTTTACTTGTCCTGCTTTGGCACTTCGTAGGGGCCGAATGCCCGGACATGTTCTCTTATCCGGACAGCGTTGATGGCGATAAACCCACCCGCATCCTGGGGCACATAGCCACCATGCACGTCCATGGAAACGAGCTGCTCGTTGTAGAGAGCTCCGACGCTCTCCGCTGCCTTCCGGGCCACGGGGCGGCAATATCCGGGCGCCAGTTCCACGGTCACCTTCCCGGAGACCCGCTGCTCGGCCAGCTCGATGCATCGCCGGCTGTAGGTCGCCTCCGGACTGAACCAGAACCCGTTGTACACGTAGTCGGCCATCCGATCTCGCAGGACCTGCTTGGTGCGGAGCACCTCGCGGTCCAAGGAGAACACCTCAAGGTCCTGGTGGGCAGCGAACAGGATGGTGCCTCCGGGCGTCTCGTACACCCCGCGCGATTTCAGACCCACGTACCGATTTTCAACGATGTCGATCCGGCCAATGCCGTAAAGTCCGCCCAGCTCATTCAGGAACCGCAGGATCTCCAGGGGCTTGGTATAAACACGGCTGCTGGCCAAATCCTCCACACTGGTGGGCAGTCCCCGATCGAACTCGATGACCAACCGGAGAGGCTCCCTGGGCGCCTCGGTCAATGGATCTACGGTCATCTCGTAAAGATTGGCGGGAGCCACCGTGTTGGGATCCTCGAGGATTCCGGACTCGTAGCTGATGTGCAGGATGTTAGCATCGGTGCTCCAGGGCGCGGCCGGCTTGGCACTCACCTCGATTCCGTGATGCCGGGCGTAGGCAATGAGATCCTGACGGCCTTGAAATTGGCGGCAGAACTCCACGTCCCGCCACGGCGCTATGATCTAAGGTATGTATGTAGATAATTAGTGATGTACGTTTGTCAGCCTAACTGCTCTCTACTTCAACTACTCTCTCAGATGTTAAGCTATCCTATCCTGCAAAATTGGCGTAGTTATATCAGGCAGTATATTAAGACAGAACTATATTGTATAACTCCCATAGGAGAGATCGACAAATAGCTGGGAAAAAAGTTCAATTTTTAAACCATAAGCATAATTTTTGGAATGTAGTTTTTAACAACGGTTGAAATAGGAAATAGCTTCCCAAAAGCTTGACGACATCACTGTTTTAATCTATTCTAACTGCATGGGTATTAACAAATTATTATATAAATATAAATATAACGCCTTAAAAGCATTAATCTAATCAAAGAATCGTTTCCTAAAGTTTCGATCTGTGCTTTTAAATAACAACATTGTTAGTTTATAATTGCTCCACCTGGGGAACTATAAATATATTGCTTTTGCGATAAGGTTGTGATAGGCAGCCCAATCTGGCTTAATTGTTCTTATCAATCGGTCAGATAGAGCTCGGATGTTTGGGCGTACCTTAAGATCCGGTTTGAGGGCGTAGGCGCACAGCTCGAAGCGCACCTGGTCGTTCCCCTTTCCGGTGGCTCCGTGGGCCAAGTACTTCGCCCCGTGCTGGCGGGCCGCCTCTATTAAAGCCACACTGATGCAGGGCCGGGCCAAGGAGGTGCCCAGCAAGTAGCGCTCCTCGTAGACGAGGCCCATCTGAATGGCCGGCCAGATGTAGTCCTCCACGAATGACTGCTTCACATCGGCCACGATCACCTATTAGTCAAAAGTTCAAATATTTCAGTAAATATAATTATAGTTATTTGTTGATGAATGCATTTTATTTTAAACTTAACAGAAAGAAAATCATGTTATCATTATTAGATTATCAATAGAATATTATTTCTAATTTCCGTAGTACATTTTTCTTTATCTATCTAAATTAGTACTAATAGATAAGTATGTACATAAGTGTTATTAAAAAAAAAACACACAAACACAAAAAACGGGTGAAATTTAATTTTAATAAAAAAAACAAGAAACTTTGCTTTTAACAATTGAAGTCAATTTGAATCTGTCAACTTGCTGACCTACTTACCTTCTTAGCCCCAATACTAAGGGCCTTCTTCTCGGCGGCTGCGAAGTTCTCCTTTTGGCCAACGTCCGCTAGGACACATATGACCTCATACTGCTTGTCCAGTAGCCACTTCAGAATACAACTAGTGTCCAGGCCACCGGAGTAGGCCAAAATTACTGTTTCTCCAGTCATATTTCTCTGATGTCCGAGCGATCTTAGTGCTTGTGCAAAAATACTGAGCTCTGAAAACATTCTAGCTCATCGAGCTCTAAGTAATCTCGATCCAATCGAATCCAGCTTATCAGTCTCTCTAAACAATTAGTTCAGTTGATAAGGTGGATGTTGCCGGCAAACACATCGACAATGATGACATTCTGTTCTGGTTCATTGGAACTAGTTTAAAAACTTAGGAATCAAAGACCCCGACCCAAGTTAATGAAAAACTTAAAAAATGCGTGTAGTTTGTCAAACTGTTCTAAAATTTGAAAAAATATTTTCCGTAATTCCTTAAGTCTGGTCACCAACAGGTTATAAGTTCTCCAAAACACTACATTTTACCTCAATCAAAATCACAAAATAATTTTAGCCTTTTTAACTTTGTGATTAATTTGGTCACACTGCCTTTCATTGTTTAAAGTTCGGGAAATTTTAGAATTGGGTTTGTTCAATTTATTGCGTCAACTTTTGATTGACGACTGACAACACACAGTAAGTATTAACTACTGGTACCCCAGATTTATACCTTGGGCCTAAACATTAAAAAAAAAGTGGCGGAACGCGTGGTTTCTAAATTTTTTTATACCCTTGCAGAGCAAAGGGTATCATAATTTCAGTCAGAAGTTTGCAACGCAGTGAAAGAGACACCTCAGACTCCAAAAAGTATATACATATGTATGTATATTCTTGATCAGCATTACGATCTGAATCCAAATTCGTCTGTACGTCTGTCCGTCTGGCCGTTTCTACGCAAACTAGTCTCTCAGTTTTAAAGCTTTGTATCTTGCTGAAACTTTCGCAAAAGTTGTGTAGTTGTTGCACGCAGTATATATGTAAGTACATAAGTCGGAACGGACCGTGTCGGGCGACTACATATATAGGATAGCTCCCATACAAGAGATTGAAATACAAAATTCTAACGCCGTTGTTTTTGATCAGATCGACTTGATTTCTTCCACATGGCGTTTTCTAACTGCTATTGAATTTCGGATTAAATTTGATCGAAATCGGATACCTCTATCCAAGGGCGTCGCCAAGGGGATCGGGAGGGGCAGCAAAATAGCAAAAAGCAACTGGCCGTAGCTTTTCTCAGATCCCTCAGAGTGATTACGTAACTTGTATAACGTTCAGTACTTAAATTTTCAATGGCTGACATGGTAAAATTATTTTATTTCTTTTGTTTTTACCTTTTTACACATTTGCAGCAATCTTTGTCCACACTTCTGTTCCCGGTAAAGTGTTTCGCGTGAAAAACATGGCAATGTTCTAAAAACGGTTGGTTTCGCGGCAGTGTTAATTGCTAATTTTTTAAATATACATATAATTAAAAAACACGCTTTCCCAAGATAGCTCTTTAAAAAAAATGGCTAGCCCATTTTTAGCAAAGGCCCTAAAGCACAATTTTACCTATGTATAAATAATATGTCTTCCCTAGAAATGTACAATTTTTGGAACGCTCTTGAAGATGATGTGCGAAAAGCCGTAAGTCGTCAAAACAACGTTAGCCTCTTCACAAATATAAAATTGGAGCTAATGGAGACCCTGCGGCCGGAATTTTCTTCCAAGTCAATCCATATCCATACCTTTGGCTCGAGAGTAATGGGCGTGGCAGGACCGGATTCGGATCTGGATCTATACGTGGATATTGGTAAGAGCTTTTCATGAGAAATGTTTTGGAAAATATCACGTGGTGCTTTCTTGGAGCTAGGCAATTGCAGTGGTATATACAGCGACACTCCGACCAAAGAAGTACTTCAACAGGGGGAGGTCATCAAGAAAGCCATTCAAAAAGCTGCCTCGAAGTGGGATTTCTTGGGCATCTCTGGAGGCAGATGTCCTGTAATCGTTGTCCGGCACAGGAACTCGAATATCCAGTGCGACATAAGCTTCTCGAATAGCATGACCTTAGGCCAGAACCAGCTGGTTAACTACATCTTTGAACTTCAGCCTATTGGTGGGTGTAATGGGTGTTGAAAAGATCATGAGATAATGGTTATTGCTCTCGATTTAGCTCGCTACATGGTCGTCTATCTGCGGGGCTGGGCTAAAAAGCAAGATATTTGGTCGGACTTCCGCAGCCACTTACTGGTGCTTATGGTGATATTTGTCCTGCAAAGGCAGGGACAGTTACCGACTATCAACCAGCTTCAACATGCTCTACAGCCGGATGTTGGTCGTAAGTACATCTATACCAACTGTTAAAGGCAGTTAGCTAAAAGTTTAATTTCTTATTAAGTACTCCATCGAGTGATACTCCACTTAATTTTTAGACAAATTAAACTTGGCAAAATCTGCCTAATTATCATTAACCGTATAATAATTAGGTCTTTTGCAGCGTGGATAACCAAGTTTTGTAAACTCGAGTTAAACCACTTTAAGATAAATAAAATTCCAACAAATGGTGATCAGGCCCGCCAAGCTCTTTCTTCCTTTTTTAGGTACTATTCAAACTTCAATTTTTCCCATTTTGTTGTTTGTCCATATCTGGGAAGAGAAATTTTGCGTTGCGAGTTGAATTACTTTATGCCCCATAGGTAAGAAAATAGTTGAAAAATGGTTTAAAAAAATCCTTATGTTACGAATCTTAAGGGGTTATCCTACCCCTGACCTTTTAAAAAATTCATTTTTTTTCAAAATTTTTTATCTAATAGTAAAAAGTGTGAGGAATGTTGTCCGAAAATTTCAAGTCGATCGGAGGAAAACTGTAGGAATGGGGGAAATTTAAAGCGCCGTTTTTCCAGAGTGTTTCAAAGGGTTTGAAACTTTGAACGCGTTTTTTCTCGAAACGACTTTTTCAAAGTCGGTAGTCAAATTTTCTCGAAAACTATTGCACCGATCGACTTCTCCTTTTGCACACTTCTTTTAGACATGTTTTTCTCGTATTTGAACGAAGGATTTTTTTTTTGGTCAAATAGAGCTTATTTTATAGGACGAAATATGGTCAAAATGTATGCAAAAAACGTCATTTTTTATAAAAAACGTTGTAAAAAATTCAATTTTTAATTTAAAAAAAAATCCTTCGTTCAAACACGAGTCAGACACATACACTTAAAGAAAAATTTTGGATTTTTTGATTTCAGATGAAAATTGGCGGAGAAAATTTGACTACCGCCAGAGCACTATTTTTGATGGGGTCAACTTTCAGGCATTCTCACTCGCTCATTTTTTAATATTTTCTTTTCAAAATTTTACAGATTATAGTTGAAGCATTATATATTCATATTCAATAAACAAAAATTGTAAGAATATCCCAGGAGCTTTGAAAAAAATTCACGAAAATAGGCCTTTTTTTGGGCCTCCAGGGTAGGATAACCCCTTAAGATGCCGAAATTTTAGGCGCTTTGCTGAAACTCCAGTTGCCATTCAGGACCTAGTGCATCTGAATTTCAACAAGGGAGCATCGATTAAACAAGCGAAGTTGGACTGCTTCGTGGACAAATGTTGCCTAGAGTTAAAGGGATTCTTTAAGCCATAAATAATTCTACATTTTGACGACATTTTGTACTTTAACAGATTTAAGTACCACGGAGTTGTCACTCAAAGAAGTATCTCAAAAACCTTATTAGTTTGTAATTAAATAAATAGACAAAAAAATCGTCAATGAAGATCGATGCATCGAAAAAATAGTAGTTGGCAATTGTCTTTAAATTGGATTATGGGGGAGTTTGGGAATTTCACAATCTCTTCACCTTTACTATCGATAACACAGGACAAACAAATATTTGCAAGCCTTTAAGGGCGAAGGGTATAATTTTAAGGCTTTTTTATGTCTTTAAGGCATTTGACTTAAAAATTAAGTACATATAAGTTGTTTCAAATACATTTTGAACACTTTTTATCTCGATCTCATCAAATCTATAAAGGAATATTTTAACGTATAATAAGCGTGCGTGATTTTTTCATCGAAAACATGATACGCATAACATACATTTCAGTAAGTGTCGAATCAATTATTTTTCCTTTAATTTTTTTATTACTGCAACTCTTATTCTGTTGCCTTTTATTTAGTAAAAATGACTTTTTCCAAACCTTATTATACACAAATCATTTCACACTTACTCAAAAAACAATTTTTCTAATATGTTTAGTAAATTGTTAAGTTGCCCTTTTCTATTAAAACCAAGTATTTTCTGCTTAAATAGAACACACTTTATTAGTCATTCTAAAATGAAAGCGATCAGCAATTGTTTGTTTTAACTTTATTTTCCTCCGTCCGGCGGCGGCCGCGGCGTTTTATCTAAGGGCATTCCATTTAAAGGATTCGCCATCCCCAGTAGAGCGAAAATAACCAAAAATACAAGCTTCATGTTTGCAGATGCTGAATGCTAGCTGTTCAACAGATTATATAGTAGCTTCCATGCAAGTGCGGCGAATCCCTTAGGTACGCTTTAAACTCAAAGATTTGACGCATCGAATTTGATTCTCTCCAGAAAACCTAGCCACGTCATATGTCATAAGTCATAAGTGTAAATGAAAGTGACCAGTAGTTTGAATATCCCCATTCTGCTGGCAATCCTAGTTTCTCAACTTTCTCCAGCCTATGCTACGGTGGAGTTGACCCTTGGGAAATTGGGAGGCAAAAAAATATTTTTATTACTGTCTCATGAAATCTTTTAAAAAATAATTTTAATAAACGTTAGTAGCCTATATACCCTTGCAGTCGTCAAATATGTCAAACACATTACATATCGATTTTTATATTCATTTTCTATGTTTTCGACGATTTAGTGGTTCGACTTGTATGAAATTTAATTCGAAATTGAAGATCCGTTAGAAAACTCGATATTCCAAAATGATTTTATGATGAAAAACAACGGTGTTATTTTTTATGAAATTTTTTTTCGCGATTAAAAAGTAGTTAAGCAAGAAAAGAAACTACCTTCAGCAAGCTGAAGCTTATATAGCCTCGGAGTCATCAAATATGTCGATCAAAATGCGTAAAGCCTAAACAACATCGAAGCTATGACGATTTTTCTAAACATTTTCCGTAATTCAAGAGTCAGCTAGTTTTGAAGAAGGGACAGACAGACGGACAGACGTACAGACGTATTTCGATTCAGATCGTGATGCGAATTAAGAATATATATACTTTATGGGGTCTGAGGTGTCTTCATCACTGCGTTGCAAACTTCTGACTGAAATTATAAAACCCTTTTGCTCTGCAAGGGTATAAAAATTAGATGTAAATCTAGTGAATCTAGCCTTTGCAGTTAGAATAAACGTAAGCAGCAGACGACTTTTTCATAGAAGAGTTATATTAATATCAAAACTCAGCCGTTTAAAAGTGACTTTGCGTTCCGAAGAAAAACTCTAAGCCCCTTATGTTTTTAAATCCATAAAATTATTTCTAATCAATTTTGCAAGATTCTCGTTATATAATTTTAAATTTTATCACGTTTTAGCTTAGAAGCATTCTGTCAGGTTATTAAATCAGACAGTTGAGAACTGTATTAAATTCAAATTCAAAATCATCTGCTTTAAAACAAAATTTTATTGAAATCAATTCGGAATTTGTTTTAACTTTAAGATGTAGGGTATACTCCTTCCCTGCGCAAGTTTGCTATATCTGTGGCAGCGAAAATCCATGGAGGATGACTACGCAGCGAATCGTAAATTGATTTGATTTTGGAAATATTTTTGAATTTCTTTTTACATATGTATATTTCGTCCATCCATCTTCTACATAGGTAAGTAACCTTTATTTACATTTCCAAGTTCGAAACCTATGTCAACTTTTTTTTTGGTGGTTATTCTTGTTATATCTTCGATAGTATTAGAGTAAAAAACTGTCTTTAAATTAAGTTTGAATTGTACGAAACCTGAGTTTATAATTAAAAGTGAATTCTGAAATAAATAATAATCAAATATTTTGGCGATTGTTATACCTGTTGCCAAGTTAAGATGAATTTAGTAAAAAATTCGGCTAGTTTATTTCAAACAATAAAATTTCACCTGCTAGACAGCCCACAGAAGCCATAAGAAGTGCGCAAGGACAAACAAAAAGCGAAAAAAACAAGGCCTAGTCATCAAAAAACAAAAAGAAACCAAAAATTGGTCATTAAATAAAATAAAATTGTACCGCTTGAAATTAATAAATAAAAAAATATAAATAACTGTAAGAGACCATTCTTAATAGTGTATAGGAATTACATAAAAATCCGTTGGATATATTTAAATTTAATATAACAATGGCAGGGCTGTAACCCACCGTGCGATTCAAATTGTCACGATATAAATATTTATTTTTCAATAATATCGATATTTTTATTTCACATCTCTAATTATCTGCCACCGCTAGTTTCGTGGAATTGTAAAATAAACTGTTTTAGCAGCATAAACATTGAAAGCCCGTGGAAAAACTCATTTTCCGGTGGTCAACGTAAAAACAACTCTTAAGCGTTGAACATATTTGTAAAATAGAGTATATTTATTTCGTAATTTCCTTGTAAAAACGAAAGCGTGCAATTAACTCAAGGCAACTTGTGGATAGCGTGGTAAGAAAACCGGTGGATATGGAAATGGAATCTGACAACAGCGACGACGAGGGATCGATTGGCAACGGATTGGACTTGACCGGAATTCTATTTGGCAACATTGATTCCGAGGGAAGATTGCTTGAAGATGACGAAAACGAGGGACGCGGAGGCACCGGGTTCGATGCGGAGCTCCGAGAAAACATTGGATCGTTATCAAAGTAAGTATTCTAAAAGGTGCTTTTGAAAAACCCCTCTGCCCACCGAGGTTAATCTTTGTAGATCAGCCTCATACACATGGGAGTATAGAGGTATATGCGGTTAAATAAACTTAAAACTCGTTGGTTAACAAGAGGAGTTCACTATTCTACTTCTATTAATAACACCACAGTATCAAGTACTCGATAGCTTGATTCGCTCTTTGCAGGTCTTGTGGCCGATTCCTCGAAATTGATAAAATAATAAGTTAAAAATCACTTGCAGGTTGGGTCTGGATTCAATGCTGCTCGAGGTAATTGACCGTAAAGAAGTTGAACCCCTCTCCGAGGATGAAGAAGAGGAGAAATCTGAGGCCAGTGCCAGTGGCGGTCTCAGTGCCTTCGACGCCCTCAAGGCCGGCGTAAAAAGTGACGAAAAGGAGGATGGTGCCGTTAAAGCTCAAGACGATGCCATAGATTACTCAGACATTAACGAGTTATCCGAGGATTGCCCACGCACTCCGCCTGAAGAACCCTCCTCCTACGATGACCTAGAGGACGCCATCCCCGCCTCAAAGGTGGAAGCTAAGCTGAGTAAGTGATATCAGCAACGCAGAAATCTACCAAGATGATAAGAAAAGTCAAAAGGAACTTCCTTTAAAGACATTCTCGTTTGGTCTGTATTATGAATCTAAGACGATCTGTTTTGTCACATCTGACTAGTAATTGCTAATCTTATAATAATAATACAAAATAAGGTTAAAATGGTTTTCGTAAAAGGGATATATACAAAGCCTACTTAAAATGTTTTTTTGTTTGTCATCACTTGCTCTTTGAGTTTTCTATCAAATTGTTATTTGACAACAATAAAGCATCGAAAACCGATTTCGCTTACATCAAAACATTTTCTTTTACAGCCAAGGACGATAAAGAACTGATGCCACCGCCAAGTGCTCCCATGCGTTCGGGTTCTGGAAGCGGAACTGATGAGCCCGCCAAGCCAAATGATGCTGCCGCTGCCAGTGGTGATTCCAAGTCTATCGATCCCAAGGGTATAACTCGGTCTTACAATGACGAAATCAAAACGTTACACATTTCACCCTTTTTAGATGCGGATCGCAAGCTGGACACTCCGCTGGCTGACATTCTACCATCCAAGTATCAGAATGTGGATGTCCGCGAGCTTTTTCCCGACTTCCGTCCCCAAAAGGTGCTCCGCTTCTCGAGACTTTTTGGTCCTGGTAAACCCACAAGCCTTCCGCAGATTTGGCGACACGTCCGCAAACGTCGTCGCAAGCGAAACCAGTCCAGGGACCAGAAGGTAAAGATTCAATTAGATGAAGATCAGCACTAGTTTACTTTAAACATATAAAATCATACAATTTCACAAATCATATAACCAGTTGACCAACACCGGTGGTTCCGATTCGCCAAGCGATTCTGATGAGCCCCGGAAGCGTGGCTTCAGTCTGCACTACGGACCGGAGCCTACGCCGGCGGAGTGCATGTCTGACGACGAGGACAAGCTGCTGGGCGACTTCAACAGCGAGGACGTGCGTCCGGAGGGTCCAGAGAATGGGGAAAACAGCGACCAGAAGCCCAAGGTTGCCGACTGGCGTTACGGTCCGGCACAGATTTGGTACGATATGCTGGAGGTGCCCGACTCCGGCGAGGGGTTCAACTACGGCTTCAAGACAAAGACGGCCTCCTCCTCGTCCCAGGCGCCGATCAAGGATGAGCGAAATGCAAACAGTCCGGAGGGAGATGGCGACGAGCCGTGCATTGCAGACGACGCCTTTCTGATGGTATCCCAGCTGCACTGGGAGGACGACGTGGTCTGGGATGGCAACGACATCAAGGCAAAGGTGCTGCAGAAGCTGAACTCGAAGACCAATGCAGCCGGATGGCTACCCTCCAGTGGATCGCGAACTGCCGGTGCCTTTAGCCAGCCGGGAAAAACATCTCTGCCGGTGGGAAGCACGACGGGCAGCTCCAAGCAGGGCTCGGCAGCATCCAGCAAAAAGGCACAACAGAAGTAGTTCTTGGTCTATGAAAAAAAAGTTTCGCATTCTGATCTTCCTCTTGCTTTCAGTGCTCAAGTGAAGCCGGCAGAGGCACCCGATGACACCTGGTACAGCTTGTTCCCGGTGGAAAATGAGGAGCTTATCTACCACAAGTGGGAGGACGAGGTGATTTGGGACGCCCAGCAAATGAGTAAGGTGCCCAAGCCGAAGGTTCTCACTCTGGACCCCAACGACGAGAACATTATCCTGGGAATACCCGACGACATTGACCCATCCAAGATCAACAAGAGCACGGGACCTCCGCCCAAAATCAAGATTCCGCATCCCCACGTGAAGAAGTCAAAGATCCTGCTTGGCAAGGCAGGCGTGATTAACGTGCTGGCGGAGGACGCGCCCCCGCCGCCACCGAAAAGTCCCGATCGAGACCCCTTCAACATATCAAACGACACGTGAGTCTCTACTAGATCTCTTATAATCGGAATAATATATAATATCCCTTTGTAGGTACTACACGCCCAAGACAGAACCGACACTGCGCCTGAAGGTCGGCGGTGGAAATCTCATCCAACACTCGACTCCGGTGGTAGAGCTGCGGGCTCCGTTTGTGCCCACTCACATGAGCGAGATGAAGCTGCGCTCCTTCCATCGTCCCCCACTCAAGAAGTACTCCCACGGAGCGCTCGCCCAGGCGACGCCCCACCCCGTCTTCCCACTGGTAAAGACCATCGCGAAGAAGGCCAAACAGCGCGAGGTGGAGCGCATCGCCTCCGGTGGCGGAGACGTCTTCTTCATGCGCAACCCAGAGGACCTGAGTGGCAGAGACGGAGACATCGTGCTGGCCGAGTTCTGCGAAGAGCACCCACCGCTGATGAACCAGGTGGGCATGTGCTCCAAGATCAAGAACTACTACAAGCGCAAGGCGGAAAAGGACAGTGGACCTCAGGATTATGTCTACGGAGAGGTGGCCTTCGCGCACACCAGTCCCTTCCTGGGCATCCTGCATCCCGGCCAGTGCATCCAGGCGATTGAGAACAACATGTACCGAGCTCCCATTTATCCGCACACTATGGCCCACAACGATTTCCTGGTTATTCGCACCCGGAACAACTACTGGATTCGGTCGGTGAACTCGATCTTTACGGTGGGCCAGGAGTGTCCGCTGTACGAGGTCCCGGGTCCCAACTCAAAGCGAGCAAACAACTTCACACGCGACTTTCTGCAGGTGAGTGCCAATATGAAGCTCCTTATAATACATTCAGTAGTCTTACCAAAGAAATGATTATTTGGTGAAAGTGAGTTATAAATCCGACCTGAAGCTCTTTCGGACAACTTACCAAAAAAAAAAGTTTCCTTAACATCTGAGATCTAAGCTGTGTTTTATCTTTATTTCCAGGTCTTTATCTACCGCTTGTTCTGGAAGAGTCGCGACAATCCGCGTCGAATCCGAATGGACGACATAAAGCGGGCCTTTCCAGCTCATTCCGAGAGCAGCATCCGCAAGCGACTCAAGCAATGCGCCGACTTCAAGCGCACGGGCATGGACTCCAACTGGTGGGTGATCAAGCCGGAGTTCCGCCTGCCCTCCGAAGAGGAGATCCGCGCCATGGTCTCGCCTGAGCAGTGCTGCGCCTACTTCAGTATGATCGCTGCAGAACAGCGCCTCAAGGTAATTGGTTTAAAATACATTAAATAATGATATGTTCGGTATTTTAATTTTATTTGCTTAAATTGCCTTTTGCTTCTGCGAGTAGATTCTTTACTTACATAATCATTTTTGTTTTTTTCAGGATGCCGGCTATGGAGAGAAGTTTTTGTTCGCTCCGCAGGAGGATGACGACGAGGAGGCGCAACTGAAACTTGACGATGAGGTGAAGGTGGCGCCCTGGAACACCACTCGTGCCTATATCCAGGCGATGCGGGGCAAGTGCTTGCTGCAGCTGAGTGGTCCCGCTGATCCCACCGGTTGCGGTGAAGGATTTTCCTACGTTCGAGTGCCAAACAAGCCCACGGTAAGGCAAACCTAAATCAAATCGGTAAAAACCTAAAATTAGTCTATGCAACGTTTTTTTCGATTTATAGCAAACTAAGGAGGAGCAGGAGTCGCAGCCAAAACGATCGGTCACCGGAACCGACGCGGATCTGCGTCGTCTGCCACTCCAGCGTGCCAAGGAGCTGCTGCGTCAGTTCAAGGTGCCCGAGGAGGAGATCAAAAAGCTTTCCCGCTGGGAGGTTATCGACGTGGTGCGCACCTTGTCCACAGAGAAGGCGAAGGCTGGTGAGGAGGGAATGGATAAGTTCTCTCGCGGCAACAGGTTCTCCATTGCCGAGCATCAAGAACGTTATAAGGAAGAGTGCCAGCGCATCTTCGACCTGCAGAACCGGGTGCTTGCCAGCTCAGAGGTGTTATCCACCGACGAGGCGGAGTCCTCGGCCTCTGAGGAATCAGACCTCGAGGAACTGGGCAAGAATCTGGAGAACATGCTGTCCAACAAGAAGACCTCCACGCAGCTGTCGCTGGAGCGTGAGGAGCAGGAGCGCCAGGAGCTGCTCCGCCAGTTGGACGATGAGCACGGTGGACCAAGTGGCAGTGGCGGCGCCAAGGGCGCCAAAGGCAAGGAGGATGCCGGTCAGCAAATGCTGGCGACCAGCAACCAGGGCAGGATTCTCCGAATCACGCGCACCTTCAGGGGAAACGACGGCAAGGAGTATACCCGCGTGGAGACTGTGCGGCGCCAGCCGGTGATCGATGCTTACATCAAGATTCGCACCACAAAGGACGAGCAGTTCATCAAGCAATTCGCCACGCTAGACGAGCAGCAGAAGGAGGAGATGAAGCGCGAGAAGAGGCGTATTCAGGAGCAGCTGCGTCGCATCAAGCGCAACCAGGAGCGCGAACGTCTAGCTCAGCTGGCCCAGAACCAGAAGCTGCAGCCAGGTGGCATGCCGACTTCCCTGGGCGACCCCAAGAGTTCTGGCGGTCACTCGCACAAGGAGCGGGACAGTGGCTACAAGGAGGTCAGTCCCTCGCGCAAGAAGTTTAAGCTGAAGCCGGACCTCAAGCTCAAGTGCGGAGCTTGTGGCCAGGTGGGCCACATGCGCACGAACAAGGCGTGTCCGCTGTACACGGGAATGCAGAGCAGTCTGTCCCAGTCGAATCCCTCGCTGGCTGACGACTTGGACGAGCAGAGCGAGAAGGAGATGAATATGGACGACGACGATTTGGTGAATGTCGATGGCACCAAGGTGACGCTGAGCAGCAAGGTGCTCAAGCGGCACGGCGGAGATGACGGCAAGCGACGCAGTGGCTCCAGCTCAGGTCTCACCTTGAAGGTTCCCCGGGACGCCATGGGCAAAAAGAAACGCAGAGTGGGCGGCGATCTCCATTGCGACTACCTTCAGCGGCACAACAAGACGGCCAATCGAAGGCGCACCGATCCCGTGGTCGTGCTGTCCTCCATTTTGGAGCTCGTTCTCAACGAGCTGCGTTCCATGCCCGATGTAACGCCATTTATGTTCCCAGTGAATGCGAAACGGGTGCCCGACTACTACCGCGTAGTGACCAAGCCCATGGACTTGCAGACGATGAGGGAGAACATTCGCCAGCGGCGTTATACAAGTCGAGAGATGTTCCTAACGGACATTAAGCAGATCTTGGACAACTCGACCCTCTACAATGGATCGCAAAGCGCTTACACTGTGGCCGCCCAGCGCATGTTCACCAACTGCTACGAGCTTCTAACCGAACGGGAGGATAAGCTTATGCGCCTTGAGAAGGCCATCAACCCACTGCTGGACGACGATGACCAGGTGGCACTCTCCTTCATATTTGACAAGCTGCACACACAGATCAAACAACAAACCGAGAGCTGGCCTTTCCTTAAGCCGGTCAACAAGAAGCAGGTCAAGGACTACTACACGGTCATCAAGCGGCCCATGGACCTCGAAACTATCGGCAAGAACATTGAAGGTTAGTTCTTGAGGGTTCATATTAACTTCTTCAGACTTCCAGTCTGTATTTCGATGTTTAGCATTCTTTTCAAAAGAAAAGGAAACGTTTTATTTGTAAGATGGTCGGTTGCGTGCATAAAATATATCAGTCGTGCAAATACTAACTTAAACTTTTCAACAGCTCATCGATATCACAGTCGCGCCGAGTATCTGGCTGACATCGAGTTGATTGCCACCAACTGCGAGCAGTACAATGGCAGCGATACTCGCTACACCAAGTTCGCCAAGAAGATACTAGAGTTCGCGCAGTCCCAGTTGGAAGAGGTAAGCTGATCAAACTGAATACTCGTCAGCGAAAATCTATTAATGTGATTTCAAATTAGTTTGCGGAGCACTGCGCCCAGTTGGAGGATAATATAGCCAAGACCCAGGAGCGCGCCAGGGAGAATGCACCCGAGTTTGATGAAGCCTGGGGCAATGATGACTACAACTTTGACCGCGGCAGTCGAGGCAGCTCACCAGGGGATGACTACATCGATGTGGAGAGCCACGGCGGACACGCCTCTTCATCGAACTCCATCCACCGCGGCATGGGAGCGGAAAGGGATGGACCATCCCACTCCGCGTCGTCATTGCGGAAGCCTCCACCTCCGGGGCCGGGTGAGGTGAAGCGCGGGAGGGGAAGACCCCGCAAGCAGCGCGATCCCGTGGAGGAGGGTAAGTGGCTTAGGGTCTCTTTCCTACTACTTGTTTCGCCTGATTGGTCATGGATCTCTATTTGCATACATACATTTCCACATTTTTCTCTCTTCTGTGGACTTCTAATGAACTATTGGTTTTGATCACGCTTCCTCCTACATTTCAAAATCAGTAAATACAGGATATATACAAATTGAATATTGCAAACGCTCTGGTTATGGTTGACTCGGATCTGAACAGATCCACATGCTTATACTAATCCCAGACTTATAACTTCAGTTTAAGCGTAGTTTAACTGTACTCTCGAATGGATGATGTTAACCGAGAATCTGAATAATTGTACAGATTTCATGTAGGTCTTGAGCCATCATCGCAATGCATGAATCTGAATACCTAGTAGTCTTAAAATGCTCCGAGAACTTAGAAGTTTAATACTATTGAAAAATAGATCTAAGTAAATGGTTGAATTTTTTGATACATCAAACGTATTTGTTTAGTTATTGAAATCGTATGTACATATTAGTTTTTAGAAATCAAGAATCTAGTGTTCAATTTAAATGGTTATAAGGTTAATCAAGGAAGCCATAATGAACCGTGAGGTTAATCAAGAATACCCTAATGAACCGATCTTTGTCATATAATGTTTGGCCAGAACGTGTATAGTCGAAAAAGTTCAATTGTTTACAAGTCGGATACAAAAATCTGAATCTTTTCTGGGTTAAAGAAATTAGAGGGCAACTCATCAAAGTGTGGCCACACAGCCGAGCAAATAAAAGTTTGAAAAACTTGATACTGTTGACACCTACGAACTGCAAAAACTTTTACCTTTTTCTAGTCAAATCCCAGAATCCGGTTAAGCGCGGTCGGGGCCGTCCGAGGAAGGACAGCCTTGCCTCAAACATGAGTCACACGCAAGCTTACTTCCTGGATGAAGGTAAGCCTCTAATCGCCGACTAATCGGATCTAAGCCAGCTGGCCGCAACACAAATACTCACTTGCATCAACTTTTTAAAATACATGAAACCCAAAATTTATTTACAACCAACAGCTTTTTCACACGCACCTCATTTTCGGTTTGGATTTACGAGCTTAGATACTAACTGTAGTGCTAACCATAGATTTGTATTTTAGTAGCTTCAATTTTTGCATGCATTTTTAGAATATATTTTAATTTGCCATTTCGACAATTTTAAATTTAACATGCTATGTTTTATTTCAGTTGTTGGTAATGCACAAGTCACCTAACAATATTTGAATCTTTTAATAAAATGACCTTTAATCCAATAGACCTGCAATGTTCGACCGACGACGAGGACGATGACGAAGAAGAGGACTTCCAGGAGGTCTCTGAGGACGAGAACAATGCGGCCAGCATTTTGGATCAGGGCGAACGCATCAACGCGCCCGCAGAAGGCATGGATGCCATGTTCGATCCCAAGAACATCAAGACGGAGATCGACATCGAGGCCCAGCAGATTGCAGGTGGGTTAATTCGAACAACATATACTTCTTTTGAATTAAGAATAATTCAGTTTAAATTATTATAATAGCCACGTTGGTTGATTTGATTTATTTTTCTCCTCACCTTACAAAATCATACATAAGTTATGTTTTCTTAACATTGCTCATAGTCCATTTTATATTTAAACATATTTTTTACGGTTCTGGGTCCTTGTTGCAAAGTGTTATACTAATCTAAATACCACTTTCGATCGCTGACTTTGTTTGGATTTGGTTTCTCTTTCGTATTTTACCAAAATCGCCTGAGCAGAGGAGCCGGTCGGCGAGGATGACAGCCAGCAGGTGGCCGAAGCAATGGTGCAGTTAAGTGGCGTGGGCGCTGGCTACTATGCTCAACAGCAGCAAGGTCTCTATTATCCATGCTAAGTGTCTGTGTTGTGCCCTCGTTGTCCATGTCCCTACCCCCTAAACCTCATACTTGATACGCTTTTAAATACGCTCTTACTGATTGGGTTTTACCAAAATATTTTAGATGAGTCCATGGACGTGGACCCCAACTACGATCCCTCTGACTTCCTGGCCATGCACAAGCCTCGCCAGAATCTTGGTGAGCCCAGCAACTTGCAGGGCGCCTTCAGCAATTTCCTCTCGCATGTTCAGGATGACAATGGTCCGTACAACACACAAGAGGCCAGTACAAGTGCCGCAGCAGCTTCAGGAATGGAAATGAATCTGCCGACCCATGAAGACGATTCCATGGCAATGCAAATGCCACCGGAAATGCCTGCCAACAATCTAGGTATCGACGATGATCTGGACATTTCGGAGAGTGATGAAGAGGAAGATGGCTCCAGAGTGCGCATCAAAAAGGAGGTCTTCGACGAAGGAGACTACGGTCTGCAGCACCACCAGCAGATGGGAATGCCATCATCACAGTCACAGATCTACATGGTGGATTCGTCTAACGAACCCACGAACCTCGACTATCAGCAGCCACCGCAGATGGACTTCCAGCAGGTTCAGGGGATGGATCAGATGCAGCAACAGGTGATGCAGCAGCAGGCCATGCCCCCGCTGCAACAGGAGCAGCCGCAAACGCCGCAGGGAGACAATGATTATGCATGGACCTTTTAGTGCTATCTTCACTCTTCGAGAGAAAGAGACTGTGGAAATACTTTGTTGATCCGATCGATCCGATCAAATTCAATTTTACTTTATTATTTTGCTTGAGTTGGGTGTCCATTTAAAAAATTCAATAATTTTCCCTTTATGTAAATTAATAGGCTTCTTAATTGCCGAGCTACCAATAACTACTTTCATAATCCACCTAATTCAATGCTCTTCGCTCAAAAATGTTTTCATTTCCCGTTTTGGTTTCTTGATTTTTCTATAAAATTGTATTGCAAACAAATTGTTAATGAAGTTGAAAAGCTTAAGCCCCCATAAAAACAATTTGTTTGAGAGCTTTGCAGGTCCAGGCCGGACTGTAAATCGTTTAATATTTAATAGCTCAACTCACAGTTAACGTGATAACGTAAATCTTAGCTTAACTTGCGTGTCACAGTCGTCGTCCTCCCCTCTGCCTCCTTTCCGGCGGCATGACGCCATTCACTGCCGCCTCCGCCGCTCCACCAACGCGCCCTATTGCTTTGAGAATTGTCGGGTTGCACTCGAGTGGGTTAGTGATGCCACATGGCGTGTAAAAGTTCCCGTGTTCCGGATTTTACAGCAGCTTCAGGTGGCCGGTGACCCGGTCGATGTCCACGGCGGCCGCTGGGCCCACGGCCAGCACAGTCTTGGAGTTCGCCTCGATCTGGGTGCGACCGGCATCGCGGATAAGGCACGTGTTTAGCTGCTGCCGCTCGGCGGCCTTCTTGATCGCCATCAGCTCCGCCTCGCTCTCCACGCGCACGGCGATCTTGGCGCATCCGCAGTTTTCCCACGCCCGCAACAGCCGGGGCGTCCTGGCCACCGCTCGCTGGTAGGCACCCACTGCTCCGTGGCCACATTGGGCGGCGATCTTGCCTTTGCCCATCTTGAGGTCGTTGCGCACCACAAGGACCATCTTGAAGTTGTCGTTGAAACCTCCGAAACCCTGAAGGATCAATCGAAATCTCTATTAGTATCAGTAGGATGGGCAAAAAAGATTACTTGTCGAAGCTCGCAGAAAAGATGAATGTTTGGAAAAGGAATATACACCCCATTTCAATGTCTACCGGTAAATATTTCCATAAAAGCTTCAATAGTAATTACATTTCGGAACCCTTTCAGTGAAAAAGAATAAAAAAGGAATAAATCTGCCCAACATTTTCATTTACATATTTAAATTTTTAGTTCTATGCCTAAAAACCCGCAGGAATATATTTTGACTTATTTTTTTTTGTATTTTAAAAGCGGCTATATGATAGTCCGATATTTAGTCTTTACTGACTTCTTCTGTAGTTCATGGGGAAAGTGTCTTCTTCTCTGAGTTTGACTGAAATTGTTTCAAGTTATGTCGAAATTCCACTGCTGACAATTTAAAACAGCTCTACTATTCTTGTGACCGCCAGTGTAAGTGTCTGTATCGAGTTAATGGTGCCTGCAAGTGCTATGTAAGCACCAGGTGTTTAAACAATGTAAGACCGTCTGGACACCCATTACAGTTATGGTGTGGGTCAGCAGCTTACCTTATCCGCAACAGGAGCCGCCTCGGAAACACTGAACCCTGAGGATCCGGACGCCGATGCAGCCGCTCCTTCAGGGGACGAGTCCTTGACGTCTCCACGCTTAAGGGCGTAACGGTAGCCCACGAAAAAGGAGAGCATCACAGCCAATCCATTGATGATCTGCGTAGAGTCCAGCAGCTTGTCGCCCATGATGCTCCGTATATTTTCTATATTTCGCGAAAAACGCAGCCGATGGCGCTCACTTCACGTTTCCGGATGCGGTCACACCAACTGAGGATTTCCACGGCGCCGCAACGGTCTTACCAATAGATTTATCGACTTTGTTGCCTCTGTTACCAAGGTGACCATAGCGGCCTCCTTTTGACAAGGATTCTTAATCTCTTATTTAAAAAACCAGTGTCGTAGTTAAAGATAAAAAGTAACCAATATTTGAAAAGTTAAGCTTTTAAGATAAATTCTACATCCAAGTGAAAACACTTGACCATTTTAAAAAATATGTTTTTTAATCAATTCAATAGTAGGCTTAAAAAAAGCTTATATCCTTTTCTATGCCAACGAACCACTCAGTATTGGTACGTCTCCGATTTTTATATTCCTTTGGTACTTAAAGCGAAATCCCACTTTTTTCAAATAACTGTTTGAACAGTAGCTTAGTAAAGTTTTACAAAATATTAATTAATATAAGATCTCAACGTTTTTTTTGTATACTTGTTAGGGAAAGTTACTTTTGCTTAATATACATTATACATATCTGGATTTTAATTTTTTCTTTAAATTGTTTTTTAAATCTAATATTTAATTTGAATTGCAATTTAATTCAAATTTAAAAGGGTAGTGCACTTTCCATTAAATCGTTAAAATTCGATAACGAAAGCTTTACCTAGATACCTTTTAAACTTGGTACCATTTACCTCGAAATACGCTTTTGCGTATACTGTGTACCTATCCTGGGTACAAATAATTGCATCTTTACCAACACTGAATATACATTCGGTTTTGGAGTTATAGGCGGGTAGTGCAGTGTGGCCAAGCAACACTTCGAAAGTAATGTTAAGTTTTTCTTTAACAAATCTTGCCGTTTTTGCATCATTGAATGGCTGCCTCACCTACACATACGTGTCTGAAATTTTCTGTCTTCGTGGACGAAGTTTTGTTAAGGACTCGTTAAATTGCATTTAGCTAGGTTAATATCCTCCTCAAGAACCCCGAATTCACAGCCGCAGCCATGGGCGTAGCCAGCATGTTGCAGATCGACGAGATGCTGGGCGACTTCAACAGAATGAACAAGCGTCAGGTGAGCGGCGCCGCTTCCCGGGCATATGTGCCTACTATATAGCAGCCTTATCCGTGTTTCCCCCTCCCACAGTCGCTCTACCAGGTGCTGAGCTTCGCAATGATCGTCTCCTCGGCGCTGATGATCTGGAAGGGGCTGATGGTGGTCACCGGCAGCGAGTCCCCGATTGTGGTGGTGCTCAGCGGGAGTATGGAGCCGGCTTTTCACCGGGGCGACCTCCTCTTCCTCACCAACTACAAGGAGGAGCCGGTGCGCGTCGGCGAGATCGTCGTCTTCAAGGTGGAAGGCAGGGACATACCCATAGTGCACCGAGTGATCAAGCTGCACGAGAAGTGAGTGTCTCATCGGGCGTATCCTAGGTCAAGAGTTCGTAAGAAAGCAGGGTAATTTCTTGGTAGAATTTTTGAGTGTTGAAAGGAGCCTTTGTGTTTAGGTTTAAGGAATAACTAAGAAGTTATTACTTCTTTCTAAGTTTTTATACACATATGTATGTGAGCCCTATGGGTTAATGAGGGATAGGTTTCTCTTGAATGCCGCATAGGTTTTTGTATAATATAAATGAGTAAGTTTATATAGATCAGTATAGATCCTTAAAGCTCTACGTGATAAAGCTGGGGACAATAGATCAAATTTGTTAACTACTTAGTATCTCAGAAGACAATTTAAACTCTTTGGTCTAGCTCATCGAATTTGCACCACCACAACACTTTAAAATATTTCCAATCTTAGTAACCTGGGAAAATATGAGATTTTTTTCTATAATCATAAACCTTTATTATTCTGTGGATTTATGATAAATCTTATAAAACTATTTAATTTACTTAAAAGTAAATAGATACGTTCAAGTTCTTAAACAAACAATTTGAGTGCAGCTTGAGTAATTAAAATGTCTACTTTAAATCGGAATCTTATCAAAATTGATGCTAATTTTCTTCCTCAGGGAGGATGGCTCCGTCAAGTTCCTGACCAAGGGCGACAACAACAACGTCGACGATCGGGGTCTGTATGCGCCGAACCAGCTGTGGTTGACCAAAAAGGACATCGTGGGCCGGGCCAGGGGCTTCCTGCCGTACGTGGGCATCATAACAATCTTCATGAACGAGTATCCCAAGGTTAAGGTAAGATATGCGACTGCGCCATCGTTTTTCTCTTTACTTATTCAAGCAATGCATTTTTTTTCAGTGGGCCATCCTTTCCATCCTGGCTATTTTCGTGCTGCTGCATCGGGAATAGACGGTTTCGCTCTTATTTTGTAGGTACAATTTATAAGTAGGAAGTGCACAATCTCGAGCCTGTCTGCATTTTCGATTCCTTACCACCCCGAACAGAAAGAACTTTGCGCGGAGTTGAGTTTCAATAAAAATACAAGTAACAATTTTTAATAAGACGACTTTTCAAAGGCAAGGAGCTGCTGCTTGAGGTGAGCACCCCAGTGGTACTTATTTGCTCCGTTTTGGGAAACAATCCGGTGGCAAGGTATGAGAATGGCAATCTCGTTTTTGGCCACGGCATTGGCCACTGCTCTCGTCGCTTTGGGATGACCCATGCGATCGGCCAGTTGGGAATATGTGAAGGTATCGCCAATTTTCAGATCCACGAGAGCTTGCCACACAGATTGCTGAAACTCTGTTCCCTGAACAGCAATGGGGACTACTTCGGAGTTTTCCTTGCCGCACTCGAAGAGTTTGTTCGCCACCAACTGAACAGCATCATCCTCCAGGAGCTGAGATTTAGGCCACCGTCGCTGCGCTTCCAAGAATGTAGTCTTATCGTCTTTATCCACAAAGTAAAGCAAACAAATTGCGTCCTGGTCTTTTGTATCCAGCTTGATTGCACCCATCACCATTCTGCCGAACTTGGTCGATAGAAAGGAGAAGCGGATTATCTCCGGGGGACTATCTACTGGGACCAATCGGATCTGGGCGTTATGGGCGAACCACATTGTCTCTTTCGTTAAATTTTAAAGTTTGGAATTTCGTCAGTGAAGTTGTTTAGTGTTACCATAGCCAGAGCGCCAAAAAACGGCTTATTTCGGATCTCAAAGCAGGGATGCCACCCTGATCTTAAACAGTGGAGCCAGAATTTAGTGAAATCTCCATTCGAAAAACTTTGCTCTTGTAAAAACTTTTTATCGTTAAGCGGTTTTGAAATATTAATTTCGACTGTGTTTTTTTGTTTTTCAAGGAAACCAAATCAGAAAAGGGATGTTTGCTATTAAGTTTTGGCAACTTAGTTGTTAGAGTAAGTTAAAGTATTATATCCTTTTTTATTTTATTTATTATTTTTAACAAATTTAATAATTGCTAATTTAATCAATTTTTATAACAAGAAAGGAATGTAGTTTTGGAGACTCGAAGCTATTTATACAGCCTTTTAGTTAGAAATGATAAATAAATGTATAATACTGTCTTTCAATTTTCATTAAATTAAATTTTAATTTTAAAGTCGTTAAAAAGGTTTATCTTTTTAAAACAATGTCTTGTATGATGCTTTGTTTGGTATTTTTTGATTTGATATAGATTTGTCGATCTTTCCTATGTGATAAAATTGTCCAAACCATGACATTTTTTTTATTCCAAATTGTAAGTCTTTCTAAATTTATTGAAGATGAATCTTATCTTGTTTAATGACATTTAAATATTAATAAAAAAGTATGTTAGTCTATACTATGTGCTTTGTGAATCATTCCTTGCGAATACAAAAATAACGAATTTTGATTTATTTCATTTTTTAAGTTTTTTTTTTTTTATCTTTAATGAAGGTCTTAAAATCCTATCTATCAGCCATGTGCAAAACTGCTTTGCGTAAAGGCGTTTGATGAATTTCCTGGTTCATTTTTTATCGGAAGAAAAATTAATAAAATCAATAAACCCCATAAAAATTCAAGTTTTCACAAACATGTGATAAATGTACAAGGCAGTAATCCCCAATCCAGGTCTGTCCGCACAATGATAGATTTGCATATGGTATTTTGACCACGGGTCTCGCTTTCCAATTAATCAAGATATCCTAGACACTATAAGGTTTGAAGGCTTTTTGGCGGCTGCCCTTTCAGGCAAAATTCCCCAGTCGAATGTTGCTTCGCTTATCGTGTGCACTTGGAAATTGGCGATTACCAAAAATATATACGTCCACAATTCGTCAGAGATATAATTGTAATGCCCACGCTCGCAATAAGTTGTCCACACTGTTTATTAACAATTTCCAATCGGACTTCGTTTATTGTTTATTCATAAATGTGTTGTACAGTTATAATTATATTACAATTAGGACTAGATTAAATATACAGACGTACATCAAGATTGTTTTACCGATTACACTCTAGCAGAAAACGAATAACTCGGGGCATCCTAAAACTAAGCTATAATACTACAGACGAGTGGTGGTGATGGTGTACATTAGGGTTTCTACTTGGTATAGTTCTGGTCTAGTTTCTAATGTTTTAGTTTTGGATATTCCTTTTGATTCTGTTTGTTTCAGTGTTTTGTCAATTGCTCTGCGTGCTTTTAAGTAAGTTAAGTTTTTCATAAAACCCTGAGTTTAGTTTATGCTAGTCCAATAAACTTCAGCTGCGGCAATGCAAATGTTAATTTAAGTATGTACAGCCCTAGATGAATATGGCACCTCGATTCCACAATTCCTAGCGTTTGATTACAGATTTTGTATGGATGATTTACATTCTCAATTTGCTACGTGTACGACATAATATTTAGTTATTTATTGTATTTCCTTATTTAGTTTGTTTCTGTCTGATCTTCTGTGCATTTTCTATTAATTTATCACAACGAAATGCGTCAATAATTTGGCGGCAACAACAACAACAGCATAACAATAACAATTACTGCACTAAAAAGTGTTCAACTCTGTTTTGTTGTAGGTGCCGCAAGTGTTAAAGTCGCCGAAGGTGATGAGGTTGCTCCGGAGGTCAGATCATTGCCACCAAGATCGCTGCCCTGCGACTTCATTTGCAACTCCGTCTGCTGTTGTTGTTGTTGTTGTTGCTGCTGCTGCGGTGGCTTTTCGCTGATCACGGGCGTTGAATGTTGCGTCAAAATGTCCGCCGGAATGAGACCCTCCTTGACCCGCTTCTTCTGCTTCATGCGGCGGTTCTGGAACCAGATCTTGACCTGTAAGCGGAGAAAGCAAACATATTTAATATGAGAATTCAATCTAAAAAATACATATTAACAGTTGTTTTTTTTTAACTGATGTTTTAAATATAAAAATTCTTAATCAAGTGAAAATTCTTCGTAAAAGTAAGTTACAGAAAACCTCTTTCAAAACAAACTCTGATCCAATTTTATTTTTCTAACCGCGTGAAACACGTTGATGATTTGAGCCAGACGCAATATTCTTAATTTTGACTGTATTAAATTGAATAAATTTAATCTATTGCCTGCTTTAAATAAACAAACCCTTTTATTTGCTTTCAAATTCATTGCAAGACTAACTGGGTAGACAATGTAACATTTTATAGGGGTATCACAGTTAGAATTGAGTTCAATGATCTTTTTTCATAATATATATTAATTTTAACACTTGTAGTGTTAACATACAAATTGTTGTTGTTTGTTACAAAATTTTTTTTCTTCTCTCCAACTAGTTTTAGTTGCAAAGCTCGATTTCTCACCTGAGTTTCGTTGAGCTGCAGTGTGTTGGCGATTTCGATGCGTCTCGCCCGCGTCAAGTAGCGATTGAAGTGGAACTCCTTCTCCAGCTCGGTCAGCTGCTTGTTGGTGAAGTTCGTCCGGCCGGAGTTGTTGGTGCTGCTGGAGAGGCTGCAGCTGCTCAGTCCGGATCCGGATCCGTTGCCCAGACCCACGCCCATGCCGTTGGGATGGGCGCTGCCCGCCGCCGCATTGTTGGCCATCATCAGGGAGTTCTGCACGGCCAGGACGCCTCCGATCCCAGAGGATCCGTTTCCCCCCACGCCCACAGGACCGCTCACGACACCGCTGCCCCCTCCCCCGCCACCGCGGCACATGTCCAGCTGCCCATTCATCTGGTAGTCGTGTATGCTGGCAGGTAGTTTCGGAGCTGCAACGGTAAGGAGGAGGTTTGTGAGACACACTTTGCGAAATTGTACATGAGCTTGATTTTAATAATCATCGTAATGGTGTTAAAAACCAAGAATCGATTTAAGAAATGCTGAGCAAAAGATACTAAAAGACATTTTAAAGGTGCCGTCACAAAAAAAAACCTTTAAATTCAAAGTTGGTGCTTAACTTTAATAGAATAAATGCAGTTTCCAGTGTAATTCTGGTTTATGTGCCTGCCTTTGTTGTGGTTTCACAGAGGACAAGGGGAGTGAGGTTCAGGTGAGGCGGGCAATCCCTTAACGTTGATCTTTAGCTGTCGCAGCTAATCATTGTGAGATTTTTGACCCTCGGCTGCTCATCCTACCCTCTTCCCAAACTCTCTCTTTCCCATTTGACTTTCGGTTTGTTTGCGTGATTTTGCATTTTATTCATAATTTGACATGCGCCCCGTGGCTAAAGCCGACGATGATGAAAATAATTCCTTTTGGCCGTTTGCCTTTCTATGGAAGGATTTAATGCGCTCAATAGGTTTGTTTAAAAATATTGGGATTATCCTGACAGCGGGCATTCTGTTCCCTAACTTGTATCTTCTGATTATAAGTTTAACTCTCACTTTGTTTTGTGGGAGGTTTGGGTATTACAATATTTGTGGAATCTAAAGTTAATCCGGAAATTTCTTCAAGACATGCTGAGTTTTAGCAGAGCGGATAATTGCAGAATTTTGAAAACAAAAGTTCTGCAAATGCCTAAAATGTGATCTTTAAAAAACGTCTCTTCTATATAAGGTTTATTGAGCGACCAGTAGTCAGGTGTATAAATCGCTGGCTCTGGAAGCTCATAAAAAACCTTTTAACACAGTCATAAATCTAAAAGAACATTCCTTCAGCATAAATCAATTAATAAGCATTATGCGACCATCACACAACAATCTCAAGAGTTTCTTATGGCTCGATGATGACGGCCATGAAGTTGAAAGGTGCCGATCGGTGGCAATATTAATATGAACTGCCCGATCCCGTTTAGTTATCGAGTTGGCTTAACCGTTTTTAGGCAATTGGCCGCTGCGAGTGCAATAAATCAAACCAGAAGCCACGAGCAATAAATAAGTTTTACAGAGCCGAATGAGTGATGAATTTATGACTGCTCCTCTAAGTGCCACCGATCCAAAATTGGCATCCAGTCGAAATATCCGCACTGTAGCTGGCGCGCACCTTTCGGGGATTTGGGAACTGTTTGCGCGGATCGATCGATAAGTGGCAAGTCGGACTGGAAACAGTCCTCCTCCTATCGTAATGCACACAGGAATGTCTAAGAAAACAAGCCCCAGGATTACCGCGCCGAGTGGCTTGGGCTACATTTGAATTTTCCCGCAAACAGGCAAACAAAACTAAGCAAACGCGGCGGCAGTTGCACAGCCAGTCAGTTACAGTCACAGTCGCAATCTAAATCACCTTCACATTCACATTCACGGTAGCAGTTACAGCAGCAGCGACTGTGACAGTTGGGAGTTGCTGCATTCCGGTTCGACTATCAATTTGCCGCCGCCAATCGCTGAACAGTGGTATAGGAATAATGGTAATTCCAATATCTCTTATTTTGTATAGCTTATGGCTTAGCTACATCTAAAACTACAATTTAAGATAAATTAACCTTTTCTCTTCCAATTAAAAATCCTTTAGTTTCTCTGTTGTTTTGCCACATGATATAATTTGTTAAGATTTTTTTTTAAATGGTACAATTACATAAAATCTATAAGTGCATAGAATGTATCATTATTTAATATATCACTAATCGTAGTGTCAAAAGCTTAGTTTATCTGAAGAATGTTTAAGTTTACATAGAAAGTAATTCAAACAGTTTTAAAATGTGTAACAATTTATACTATGAAATGTATTTCAATATTCCAAAAAAAACTATCAAAGATGGTAAAACTTCTTTGGGCATAAATTATTAAATCGCTGTGCACATATCTGGCTTCACTGTGGCACGGTGCGGCCTCCGTTAGTGGCACGGCTGCCTCAGCCGCTGCTGGTGTCGCTCGGGTTGTCAAACATGTCGCGGCCAGTTGGCGGCACTGTCGCTTTTGTCCGGCGCCAAACGATATCTGCTTTGTAATATTAGTTTTAGAGAGCATTATCGAGGGATCGCTTCCACTTCACTGCTCCGAATGCGGCGGGGTCAGTGGGGAGAGGAGAGGGAGGAAGAGGGACAGGGAAGGAGCGATGGAAAGTAGGGAAACTCCGCGGCTAACAGATATCCCACCCCCTCCCGGCTGAAGGCCATCCCGAAGGGGGTGGGTGGCACGGTGGGCTGGCACCATGGCGCTTAAGTGACACTGTTGACAATCAATGTAAACAAGCGGAGTCGCTGCTGCAGCATTTTCCAAAGGGGCGGATGGGCAGGATCGGAAAAGGGGGTGAAGTGCAACAGCTAGGGGCGCCACGCGGAGTCAACGTAATTCGATAGCATCTCAACTAGCGGTAATTACAGTTGCAGGCTTAACCCAGTCAAACGATTGTTGACTCTTGCATATCTACATGTTCATCACTCGAATCTCAGTTGAAAGGGAATTATGGGAAATCTTAGCCAGGTCAAATGAGGTGTTATTGAGCTTAGTTTAAGTTCATTTAAAGTTCGCTTTGGTCAACGTTCAGGTAAAAATTACAAAATTATAGAATTACTCTTTTAGAAATGCGCTTTTCGGTAAACAAAAATATTTGAAATGGGCTTAGCTCTATTAAACATTTGGTAATTCTTGAAGTGTTGGTTTTACCTATTGTCTGATGACCATTAAATTTAGATCGCAATAGTCTACTCCCTGTCCTTGAATTCCACGCCTCAACCAATGTTCCCTGGGTACGTGAGTCATCCGCTGGAGAACGGCCATTTTGAAATGATATAATGATATTATCATTTCTATTATGCAGGCGCCACTGCCACTTTACGGAGATCCCCACTCGCACACACTCGCGCACTCGCTGGCAATCTGTGAGTCCGGGTGGCATTACATGGGGTCCGTTTTGGGGAGATTAAGTGGGCCTGAGGCCGTAGAATGGAGACCGAAGACCGGAGAGCCGAGACCGGAGACCCGAGACCCGAGACCGAAGTGCGTGGAACGCCGTCTGGCCGGCGGCTCAATTGATAATAATATTTAATTCGAGTGCAAATAGAAAATTATATTTCAATTAAAAGTAAATTGTTTTAATTGTTGATTAAACACAACATCAACTTCAACGTCATGTGGCAAAACTTTCGAGAACCGACTCTGTTTTCCTAATCTGAGGGCAATAAAAGTGCACAGAAAGCTGGCCGAAATATGCTGACGATCGGTGGCATTAGTGACGATGTGATGGATCACCTGCGGTAATTTATGGCCCCCAATCGGAAAGAAACTAAAGTGCCAATATATGCAATAGGCAGTGGCTGTTTTATTTGCTTTATACGGGACAGATGTTCAACTCCGATGACCAGAGGTCAGTCGGCACTAATTGAGTTGGAAATCTCGGTCGAAACCCCTTTCGGGGGAGGGTTAACCCAGCTAATTAGGCACAGCCAACACTCTTTGGCTTCTCGGAGTCCCAACTCCGGACCCTCGGACTCTGACTCTGACTCTGACTTGACTAAACAGCTATAATCCCGTCGAAATCCACGAGCCATGTCCATTCATTCTGTCAGTTTTATTGGCCGCCTGTCAACCAGTGACTTTTTCCACATGTCATGCGATGATGCAGTCGTATCTGGGTATCTGGGTATCGGGGTATCTTGGTATCTACATTTCAAACACGAATCGTGAAATGCACAAAAACCGAATTCTCATAATTGTATCTACATATCATGGTTCCCCAAAAAATCCAGCTCTTTGCCACAAAGGTGGAGCTAAGTTTTCCAGCTTAATTGAAAGTTTTGTATGGGCATAGCAGACGTCCCGCGGCTTATTAGTCACGATGTCTAACACACATGGAAATTGTTCGACACAGGGCTCGAAGATTTTGAAAGAAATCCCAAAATGAAACCAAACTTGCTGTCAGTCTGAGTCAGATATTACCCTTCCAGTGGGTTTTGGAAAATGTCTCAACTGGCGCCCGAGCAACAATTTCTTAATCTTGTTAACTGTGTTTTCTGTCTCCCCGGAAGAAGTTTTCAATTTCTTATCAAACATCTTCGTTCGAGCTGGTTGTGTGTCTGTCTGTCAATCGGCTTGTTTACCTTTCGGAAAATTATGTCGCCGTCACACATAACACAACACAACACTAAACTCGATTTAAATATTTACACAGATACTCGAATGCACATATTTGTGTTATCTTAATAGCAACGTTTTGGCTACTGTTTTCTGTTTATTCTACTTTTATTTTCTGTTCTATAGATTACGCTGAATTCCGGTAGCCATCTGATAGACCCGAAAATCAAAATTGTCGACATTGTTTGCACTACATATTTTTGGCGATAACAAATTGCTCAACATGTGTTTTTGAGGAGAAAATTAAATTATGTATGTTGAATGCAAGAAATTGAGAAAGAGTTGTTAGTACTTTTAAAATGGTTTGGCTATGACAAAATTGATTGGCATTTAAAGTAATACATAGATAAAAAGAATGTTCAAAATTAAGACTTGGTATTATGATCAAAATAATTGTTATTCTAATCTAATTTTGTTAAGCAACTAACAACTTATAAACTTATGTAGTCTTGTCAAGAACGTGTCTTCCCCTTAGTATTAATAAAGCGTTATATTGCGTGAAATAAGTTTAGTTGAGTTTGACAATTATTTGGCAGATTATCTTTCACTGCTTGGGCGATAATTGGCTCGAGTGGTTTTCTTATTTCCCAGTCGATAGCAGTGCCTACACCACATTTCCAACTAAAAGTTTTTTTAAACATATTATTTGTTGCTGGGTATTTATTTTTAAACTTAGACTAAAGTGTTTTGGTTAACGCGTGTATTATTAGAAGTGAGTAAGTGAAATTACTGATTCCAGGGGGTGGGTGAAAGAGAAG